GGGAAAGAGCAAGCTACAGAGTCAAACTCTGGAAGATTCTATTTTTTTTTTTTTTTTGTGGGAGAGAGCAGGAGGCAGGGTAGAGAGGAGAAACCAAACCCTTACCTTCATATGCTTTTGAGCACCAAGGGAAAATCCAGGACAGATACCAAAGTGCTAACTGGGGACCAGGATAAGGGGAGAGAGGGGAGAAAGTCACTTGCTACTTTATAAACTTTTCCTTGAATACTTTTTATGAATAATTTTGGGGAGTAAAAAAAAGGATTTATAAGGGGGTCTTGTAGAACCTACTACCTAAAAATAATATTCTATGTGACATAAATCAAAGAGCTGCTGCTATAGCTGTGGAACATGATCTAAAGGTGTTAGAAATATCCTATAACTAGTAGTGGATCTAAAAATGGTGCAAAGCTCTCTTAGGTGAAAAGGAGGGGTTGGGACCCTGGGTGGGGAGGGGCGGGAAGAGAGCTGCTGTTCTTCACCATAAACCCATGTCCACTATTCGCTTTTAGAACCATATATGTGCTTGATTGGCTGTGATTAAATATGTTTTTTTTTTAAAAGCCACCAATACTATCCATCACCAGGACAATGCAATGATGGAGCTGTGAAAAAGAATAAAACTAGAGCTACACGCATCAACATGGATATATCTCACAGACCTGATATGTAGAGGGCTATGTACGACATGATACTATCGATATAAAGTCTAAAAACACAAAACAGTATTTTATATGGTTTGAGATGTCTGCATATGGAATAAAAGAATTAAATGCATGTGTGGGAATAAGTGGCCACCTCAGGACCTCCCTGGGAGGGGGCAGCGGGACAGGAATAAAGCTGGAAGGGTGATGGAGGGGCTCCAACAGTCTCTGTGACATTGTACATTTGGAAGCGTGTGGGGTGATTACTGTGTCTGCCCCTCCAGGCTGGTGCGAGAGGGCTTCAAGTGCCGAGAGATTAAAGCTCATGACACAGTGCCCTGCACGCAGCCAACTCTCGGCAGGAGTCAGTAAACATTACGCTGTCTGTCTCGGGGGCGGGGCAGATTTTCTGCGCGTCCATGAGTCTCCTATCTTTCCTGGTCCTCCTCAGAGCCACTCCTACGCTAAGCCTTTGCCGGTCCCCTCTGGCTGCATTAGGGCGTCTACAATGACATCTGACACTGGTGCCTGCATCCCCATCCACCCATGTGGACTGGAGGGGACCACACCATCTTGACTCTGGGGGTGGGCATGAGCCTGGATTGCGCCAGTGAGAAGCAGCCCTTGGTCCCAATATGTGAGCTGAGTCCTGGCTCAGAGGGAGGGCAGAGGGGGCCGGGGCCTGGGCCAGGGCGGTGGTGGCACTGCCCAGTGACGGCTGGGAGTGGACCCCCCGAGATAGGTCATGTCCACTGACTGGATGTGTGGGGTGCACGAAAGGGGGCAGTCAAGCCCCCCCATCCCTGCTTTCTGGTTTAGGTGAAGGGCGCAGAGACGGGGGTCCAGGCGAATGTTGGGGCGAGGGTGGAAATGCAGAGTTCAGCCTTGAACAGGTTGAGTCTGGGGTGCCTGGGATCAGTCAGAAGTTCAGAGTCATTCACAGAAAGGGGGGAGACAGGTGGGAGGATGATGCAGGTCAAAAGGTGAACTTTCTAGAAGCTGGAGACTGGCCGATAGACCATGAGGAAGTCATCCCCTGCCTCCCTTTGGCTCTGGGCCAGGCGCACTCCACCTCCCAGGTGAGGTGGGCACACGTGGGTATTCGGGAGCTAGATCTCCCCTCCCCATCTCCGTACTCCTGGCCACACCTGTGCAGGGCGGCGGTGATGCCAGGGTCCTGGGGACTTTGCTTCTGCTCAGAGTTTCGCAACCACAGCTGGCGGACAGCCAGGGACCAGGACACCCTGCCGGACACCCAGGAGGGCGTGTCCCCACCTCCCCCCCATCCTGACCTTCTTTGACAATTTGCTCCGTTAGCCAAGAGGAACCGCAGTGCATCCGAGGAGACTGCTAGCCTGCGGCTCTGGGCTGTCTTCCTCAAGCAGTCATTTACCAGTAGGATTTCTCAGGAAGGAAGAGGGGGGCGCTCCTGGGGACTGGGGACCCCAGTGACAGGTGGGCTTGCGAGTCTCCCTGCCTCCTTCCCAGGCTCGGCCTTTGCCACTGTTTCTGTTGCTGAAGCGATGATTTCTGAGCTCACTTAGATGTTGGGTGCCTATTCCCGGGGTGCTGGGCTCCCTGTTAAGGGTGGGTGTGTGGCCGCGGGTCCCTGTCCCCAGGGTACAGTCCCGTGCAGGGCGCGGAAAAGCTGTGCCGTTAAGAGAGGGGAGAAGGAAGCGGGGGGGGGGACAGATGGACAAATAAATAAACAAAAAAAAATAAGACATCATGGAAAGAGAAGGGCTATGAAGAAAAAGGCAAGGGGAGGGACAAAGAGTGCTGGGAGTGCTGTGAAACGGGGTGCTCAGGTAGGTTTTCCTAGAGAAGTGACAGCTGATTAGAGAACTGAATGCAGTGAGGGAAAGA